GTGAGAGAGAGAGAGAGAGAGATCAGCTTGCTAACCTAGTTGTTTGATGATTGTGGAATAATTTAATCTTCCAACATGTACCTTTTCTGCATTTTACCTTTCTAGGGTCTCTTTTAATGTTTTGGAGACATGCAGGTTCCATGTGCTATATGTCTGAATCTGTTCGTATGGATAATGTTTACCCACCTGAAAATGAAGGAGGTGTATGGCAATGGCTTTTTGGGAAGAGTGTTACCAGCATAGTTCTGGTCAACTCAGGACCATCAGATGGCTTTGTTGGTATTGCAGCACCATCTCTTGCTAGAATACTTCCGGTTTGTGTTTGATCCCTCAATATACTATGAGATGGCTTCTTTTCATAATTAAAATGCAGTTTCCATTATGATTTATTTCATGGTCTGAATTTACATGGTACTTTTCAGATAGACCTGGCAAACTTCGGTGGGGAGATTCTTTGCCAGGTAAGCAGATATTTAGTTTTTTTTCAGCATTGTGTTTTTGAGATCCAGTATAAGATTCCTTTGGCAGGTTAATACAATTTTTCTGAGGCGCTAAGGTTCTTCATTAATTTGTGTGGTTAATCTGGAAATATGGTTGCTGTAGCCAGATGCGTTCCTTTGCTCGGTCAATGATGTCCGTGTGACAAACTCAATGGAGCAGAGGCCTCGGCATGTGGTTGCTGGTGCAGAGGTGAAGTTACAGTTCTCCCATTTTCTTCTTTGTTTGTATTTTTTTGGCTATTATAAACTTGAATACACAATTTCCAACATGCTTGTGTACTCATCTTATATGCTCTCTCAGTTCTCTCTTTTGGTTTCCTACCTCTTTCCTTTTTTGTTGTTTTGTTGGTTTTGCCTGCATATGTACCTTACTATGAGTGATGTCACATCTGCTCTTCTAGGGTATTTTGAGACAGAAATTGGTTGGTCAGGGGCTCGCCTTCATAGTTGGTGGTGGATCTGGTATGCTATCATTTCCCATGCGCTTTGTAGTTGATGCATGTGCTATTGTTTATAGTACATTGAATATTTGTGATGGTGCCATAGGGACTAGTATGGGCATGCATCGTCTACTGCATTGTATAATTGAAATCTGCCTTTTACATATAGAGAAAGATATGGAAACTAGAGGTGACTTCAGAGGAAAAAAAGAAAGGGAAAAATAACTGTACACTGAATTTAGAGGAAACATAAAAAATAGATTGGGAGAATATTTTTTGAGTGTAGAGAGAATGCTTCAATCAAAAAACTTTGAAGTTACTCTTATTAAACTCGGGAGTTGCAATGCTATACCTTGATGGCTCGTGGATGATGAAACCAAGAGAATAGACCTTGTTAATAGATAGCTGATGATGAGTTTACAGCATAAAACTCTTAGATATGGGATCAAACTCACTGCTTACAGTATTAAGCGTGCATCATGACATTAAGAGATAATAATAATAATAAGAATAATAGAAAAGCTGAGAATAATTTTCAGTGAGATATTCAGTTTGATTCCTCTACACTGCCGCGATGAATGAGGAGGAAAAGAAGCATAGATATCAATAGATGAAAGTGACATGAGCTCCGGAGCAGAAAGGACATTGAATAATGACATGCATCAAATAGGTATTTGTTGGTGATGAATGATAGTTGTGGTTCCTCTTAAAAACAGAGATTTCCTTGAATGCCTTTATTAGAGCGGGTGTAGTGAGGTTTCAGAGGGGCCACCAACAGACAGGCAGGGGGATATATTGTATAGGAGGTTTTGGGGAAGATTGTCCTATACTGACTAAATTTGGATTTTAACTATGTAATACAAATTTGGACTAAAGAACAAACACCATTGGTTGGTTAACTCATCATCATCATCATCATCAAAGCTTTATCCCAACTAGTTGGGGTCGGCTGTACGAATCTTGTTCCGCCATTTTGTTCTATCAATGGCTATACCTTAGGTTCAGAATTCATGGCAAGTATGGCAAAGTTTTATACTGGCTACCTACCTAACGCTACCCACCTCCTATACGCGAGGTTGGTACAGGTTAAAGGAAAGTTTAAGGTCCTCACAGTTAAGGTTAACTCATCTACTAATATTGTATTTAATAATGCAGAAAAAGTGAACTCTCAAATAAAGTAGGCAAATGGTTAAGAATTCTAGCCAAATGAAATTTTCTAGTTCGTACTTGAAGTTTGACAATAAAATATTGGCTTACCTACCATAATAAATGATGGTTTCATCTCAATAAACAAGAAAAAACAAAAAAACAAGGTTTGACCAAGACTCTAAGAATCCTCTTGGACCATGCCATCTTCCCTCTGTGGTAATGGAATTTCGCCAGCTTTAGAATTGATATTACTGCTTGTAGAATACTTTTTCGTGAATGTTGGCGTAAATGAGTTGATTTTCTTTATCAACATACGAAACTGGAATAAAATTTTGTTACTATTAGCTGATTTCCCTTATCTTCTCTACTAACTAGTTAAAAACATTTCTGTGTGCTAGTTGTGCAGAAGCATCTTGCAGAAGGAGAAATGTTCGTTGTAGATGCAGCCTGCATTGTGGCTATGACACCTACAGTTGATCTTCAAGTAAATTATGTTGGACCTATGAGGCGTGTTGTCTTTGGAGTGAGTTTTTGGCTCTAGAATACCATTAGTCATGCATCCCAGCATGTGTCAACTTTGTTAACTTAGGCTTTTTTCTTTCCCTTTTCTTTTCATCCTTTCCTTTTTCTTTCTTTTTTCCAATAGTTAATTTTGTTTACCTACACTTTTGGTGTCACGATCTCCCTAGTGAAATATTTGTGACTAATATATGAATATTAAACAGGGCGATGGTCTTGTGACCGCCATCCTAACGGGACCTGGAATTGTTTTCCTTCAAAGCTTGCCTTTCTACCGCCTTTCCCAGAGAATCGCAAGGCAAGTATATTTCCACTGTTTAATATTATATTGCACTTGTGAAAATCATAATATTACACTTGCGCAAAGATAATATCTGCTGTAGGAAACCCCAGTCCATGGGGTCGCCACCGTCCATCACTTCATCCAATGGTGATGATCCTAATGGACTTAGTGCATCAAAGTTTATTGTTCCTTTATTTATTGTATGTGCCTAACCTGCTTAAAAAAATTCAATAAATAAAAATGGGAAGTATCTGAAAATTAAAAGCAGAGTATTGTTTCTAACTTGCTTGAGCTTTCCGGAACAATCCGGATGCTCATTCTTATCTGCAGGGCTGTGGCATCACCTGGCGTGAGGGAAAACCCTAAATTCTTCATTCAGATTGCATTGTTCTTCTTTCTCGCATATGTTATGATTGTATCGTCTCTGATCTTGACTGATGTCTGATTGCAGTTTATACTGAGGGGAAAGATTTATAAGAGAGGCGGCATAGGGACTTTTTTTTTAATTTTTAATTTTCAAAAAGGAAAAGCGATTTTATTTCTTTCCCCCCTCCCTGAATATCTATCTCTTTTCTATTGCTTCTTTTTGTTTGGATAGGTTTTGTACTGTAGAATTAGAGAATTTCATGAAATCAGAAACACAAAGGAGGGGAGATGTGATATAAAGTACTAGCATATATCATTACACTTGAGGCCCTTTTCTTTTTTCTTTCATTTTGTTCTCTGCTGCAAAAAAATTGGTTCTGTATTTGGGAAATTTAACTAAAAGAAATTTTTTTTGTTAAGAAAGCCAACGTTGTCAACTACCAAATGGTATAAGTTTGCACTATCTTCTGATTTTACAGTATTACAAATATAGTTACCCCTGTAGACTTTGGGAAATTTCAGACTTCTTTTTTAAGGTCACTGGGTTGAAATGGAGGGAGGATAATAATTGCAGAGAACGGTGATTTGAGGGTAAAGGTGTCTTTCATTTCATTATCGCTTTTAGCTTGGTGGTTGGGGCACATGCGAAGGTTCAATTCCGACCAAGCCTTATGTCAAGAAAATATTAAAAAAAGAAAAAGAAAAGAAAGTCATGCAAAACTTGTGGTGTTGAGTGAGTAGCAACTCTCAACAAATGAAGATTGGTAAATTATGATCAATATTATCCGACTGGAAATTTGGTCTGATATAAGGAAATTTGATGACAGGTTTGAGGAATTTTATGGGTTTTATCATTATTATAATTATAGTTTATTTTTATTTTAATTTTTTATGTTGATGAATATGCAAATCTTCCTTGTCTTCGAAATTTAATGAATTAATGCTTAATTGCAACCAGCATACACCCCAGAATTGGGTTTTGGATTGCCCACCCACATTTATCAATTCAGATTAGGTGGTTAGGTAGATCAGAATCTGGATCAGTCGAACTTGTCGGAATGGTTAGAAAAATAAAAGAAATTGAGGGATGGAAAAAGGACAAGGTCACCCACCTTCCGAAACTGGTCTGGATGGGCAATGCATGATTCAGATTATAGGATTTTAAAAACCTTTATTTCAACTATTTTTGGCTAAATTAGAATCTGCAAGCTATGGTCAATTTCCATTGGATTTTGAACTGGGCTTCACCACCAGTTCGACTTGAGTGGAAGTGAGAGAGAGGCGACGGAGAGAGATCGCTTGGCGCAGCAGAAAATAACCCATTCCACTGCGAAATTGTTGTTAACCAATTTCTGTTAAATACGATGATGAGGAAATCGACCACTTATTTTTGTTGGGGCTTTCGTGGGTCCGGCCTTAAAAAAACTTGGACTGGTCTGAGCCGGGTCATGAGCCACGATAGGGCCAGCCCACCGCATCCTTTTTTAAAAAATTCTTTTTTCCTCTTTTTTCTTGGATAGTATTTGGTTAGGCTTGATCCCGACTCCCGATAGGGCCACGGCCTCTTTGACCAGGTCAGGGCTGGGCAAGCTCGGGTAGGGGCTAGAGCTTGCCCCATTAGCCTGGCCTGTATATATGCATTGTAAGTATGTTCGAATTATGGTTTTAGATTGAAAAGGGCAAGGGGTAGGCCTAAAAGGATGTGGTCGGAAGTAGTTCGAAAATATATGGGCACTTATGACCTCATTGACGATAATAGAGCATAATGAAAAACCAAGATTCAAGTAGCTAACTTCAATTAATTGAAGAATGGTTGAAATGATGATGAAGTATGCTCGAATTATGGCTTTGGGCTTGATGGTGGGTTTTTCTTTAATCAATCAACCTATCTTTTGCTACAACAGCTGATCATCCCATCTGGAAATATTGGTTTGGTGCAATTGGTGATGGCTGCGGTGTTTTTGCTACAACAGCTGAGCATCCCATCATGAAATATTGGTTTGGTGCAATTGGTGATAGCTGCGGTGTTTCTGCCGTTGTGGAAGGAGAGATCGAATAATTTTTTTATCAAAAATTTCAAGTTTAGAAGCAATTAAAATCACGTCAAATAAATTGCACCCTTCTATAAATACAAACTATTGAACTTCCATAGTACTTATTTTGTTGAGTTCCAGTATTATGGATCCGGCTGGGGGAGAGAACAAATAAATTTTCCTTTGATATGATGGAAAATTAAAAATTCAAACAAAAAAAAATCAGATCCAACCAACTCTCCACGTCACTTGTCTCAATATAGAGATATTTGGCTGTAACTTGGATTTGAAAACAGTGAACTAATTACTTCTAAACTGCCCCTGATTCCTTTGACAAGCGGAACTCCGAATTATCAACCAACGAAGCTAAATTTGAGGAAAGTCATTTACTGGTCTTTTATTCTTTTGCATATTTTCAGGAAATTTACAAGACAAATGCCCTTATATAATATATATTTTAGTATTCAATATTTTATGTAGAGGTCCCATTTTCTGGCCCTTTTTTTTATCCCTAAATTGCCTCTAATTTGTATACAGAATGTCCAATGTCAGAACACATACCCCAGTTACAAATGCGCTTCTCTTTTCTTTCTTTTATTTCAAAATCTTCTCCTATTTTTATTTTCTGCATATGGTGGATGTGTCTTGATTGAACCTGCTCCTTTTTTATTTCTTTGTGAGTGAGAATTTTTTTGGTCATTAGGTTCGGGAGATCAATTCTGACATTGGGTGTCTAAAACTAGACTTTTTTTATTTTTTTTTGTAAGTTGGAAATTGCTAATGATATTTGGTGCTTTAACACACTTTTTTTTTGTTTTTTATTTTTTTAAAAAGGGCAAGACAGGTTCAAATATTAAGTCAATGTCCAAACCGGGGGTTAATTTGAAAATATTAAAGGACAAAAAATAGTAAATTTACATAAACTATAGAAGGGAAATTTGTAAAACTCACTGCACAAGACGAATATTTAAATGGGAAAATTATATAAAACCCTCTGACATTCAAGTTTATGCATACAGGACACCCAGTACTTATGTGATTTACAGCATATGGTATTATTGTTTTCCTTGGCATTGACTCCCTAGCGTGAATTTTTTCCCTATTTTAGATGAAACTGCTCCTCACACTCAAATACATCAAATTAATTGAAAGCCTTTTTTATTCAATTTTTGGGTGAATTTTTTGCCTATTTTGGACGAAACTGCTCCTCGCACTCTAACACGTAAAAATAGTTGAAAGCCTTCTTTATTTAATTTTTTCCCCATGGTTGTAGTCGAATCAACTTATGTTCATAAAATGTAACACAGAAAATGAAAAAAAAAGAAAGGCTTTAAACTGATTTTCAAGCTTTGACCATAAGTGTCATTCTTGCAAAAAAGTAAAAATTATTAGGTGTAATATCAAATTTAGTGGGAGTCGTACGGGTATAAACTCTAAGGATTTATGTAAATTTTCATAAAATCCTCTATGTTTTATATCTTACATTAAAGTCACACATTTTTTAGTTTTTTACGAGACTACTCTTCGCTTGGAACTTCAAGATCTAGATTGAAGTATTTTTATGTGAAAGAAAGTATGGAAGCTCAAGTTCTAAACCCATTTTTGATTAAACTTGAGTTTGGAACGTCTACTTCCAATCACGTGTGTTAGGTGCACATATTGAAGTTCTCGATCCGACACAAACTTTATAGGAAGATATTACAAAACGTCTATAGGCGAAAATAAATAGTGATTTTACCTACTCTCATCACCATCTAAAGTTCATCGCATGGTCACGATTATCCAGTAGCATTTCATTTTTTTTTTTTTACAAATCAGAATGATCTGAAATTTGAAACGTATGTTAATAAAAAATAGGCGAATCTATAAAAAATATCAAAAAAATATTTTATATTAAATAAATTGACCAAAATACCCCTAAAAACTTTATGGGATATTTTTTGTCAATGTTTTGTTCCACCAATTATTATTTTTTATATATTTTTATTAGGTGCGTCTCGCTGAGATGTACACATGCTTCAAATTCAGATCATTTTAATTTGTAAAAAAAAATGAAAAATAAAATACTACCAGACAATCATGACCATGGGATGAACTTTGGACGGTGATGAGGGTAGGCGAAATCATTGTTCATTTTCACCTATATATGTGTGCATGTGTGTATGCGCATCTTAGGGAAGCGGACCCAATAAAAATATAAAAAAAAATTCGTGAAAAATAAATTGACCAAAATACTTCCAAAACTTTTCGGGCGTATTTTGGCCAATTTCTTTCATGTAAAATATTTTTTTGATATTTTTCGTATATTCTTCTATTTTTTATGAACACACGTTTCAAGTTTTAGGTCATTCCGATATGTATAAAAAAAAAATGAAAAATGAAACAATACTGGGCAATCATAATCATGTGATGAACTTTTGACGGTGATGAGAGTAGACGAAATCACTGTTTATTTTCACTTATAGGCGTTTTTGTAATATCTTATATATATATATATATATATATATAAATAATGTATCTCATAACACATTATCTACCAGCATCCATTGATTCAAGATTGAGGATTTAGTCTCGCTTCATCGCTTGCTTGGATTTTTTTGCTTGCAAGTTGTAGCTAAATTGTACTACGTCAACAGCTACATCCAATTCCTTTAGTTGGTACTCACAAAGTGTTGAGAGGTACTTTTCTAGCTATGTTGTAATCCTCTCTATTTAGCTGTTTTCAGGCGGATGAAAAAATGCATTTGCTTAATCTGCACTATTTTACGAGCTTTAATGTTAAAATAAATTTTAAGATTGCTCAAAAGGTTTTTCAACATCAAAATTGTATATTTAAGCATAGTTTAGAGGTGCTCTTGCTTTGATTGTTTAAAATTAATGCCACCCCATTTTTAAAGGGAAAAGTTTATATAGAGCCGAGGCTCTCAACAATTAGATTTGATCGTACCTCCAAAATTTGGCTAGATGTTATTTTGATGCCCAAATATCCGCAAATTGATCATCTCGACATCAAGATGCATGGACATGAGAAAAAAATGGATTCCAAGTTTTTGAAATAGTGTATTTTATAACGCATTTTTTGACTGTCAATTTTCAAGACTTTCATAAATCTATCGGTTTATACTATTTTTGAAGCTTTAAACTTTATAAATAAATATGAAAATATATTTTAAAGTTATCACAAGGATTTTCAGTATTGAAACCACATTTCTCGACACTATTTGAAGGTAGGCTCTAATTTGATTGTTTAGAGCCTAGGGGCTATACAAACCACACCCTTTTTTAAATGGAGTTTCAAATTTATAGAATATAAAAAACCACCAAAATGCCACCATTAACAAGGATAGGAAAAGTATACAATGACACTATTTATATTGCTAAAGTTTAGAACGAGACCATTTACTTTTGGCACAAGGTGATCATAATTAATCTTGACCTGGATGTGAAATTGAGTGGTTGCATTTATTTAATTGACCAAACTCGAAGATTAAAAGAAATTATTTCGAACATTGTGACACACCCAAATTATTAGATTTTACATCGGATGGTAGTAAATAATTGTGACTCTCTATACCAAAACTAAATAGTCTCATTGTATAATATAAGATAACCACTATATGAAATTTAACTTTTAGATATGAAATTGGGTGGCTGTATTTATCCTTTTTTACCAAGCTCAGAGTTCAAGTGAAATTTTATTGAAGATTGTGATAAATTCAAGATATCTAATTTCACATTGGAGAGCGGTAAAAGATTGCGATATTTATTGTGCTAAAAGATAAGCGATTGCATACGATCCCCAAAAGGATAAATCTTTTAACGATAGCCAAATTATTAGCCGCCGAGGAAAAGTCAGGGTATGTTGACATTTGGTAAGAAGTTAGTGGCGTATTCGGTCATTAAATCTAAACGCGAAAGCCAGAGGATATAAATAAGGAAACGCGGTTAATACAGCGTTGAAGCGGCACCTTTCGCCGTTACTTTCTCTGCAAAAGATAGCGTTGATAAAAACCCTAGTTTCCTTATTCTTCAATATCAGAGAGAAGCCCCAGTTTCTTAATCTTCAACTGAAGGCTTGGTTTTTTTGGTGTTTTTGGGATCTAGAAGATTGATCGCCGCCAGATCCGGAAGAAACGCTGTTGATCGGCTTCTGGTACAGTCAATTATTCAATTCCTCTTTCGGAGGACTTATTTTTTTTTTGTTGATTATTCTCTAAGCCCTAGGTTTTTGTGATTATTGATCTTTGTTTTTCTGAAATTCTGTTGATTACTGTGGAAACACTAGAAATTTGTACCAGATCCCTGATTTATTGATTAACTAGGGTTCGTCATCTTGTATACCCAAGGTTCCTTTATCAGATTGTTTATATTTTTCTGAATCACTATTGATATTGTCTGGAGCCCTGTGTTTCTTGAGGCTTTATCATTGTCAGTTCCTGTTTGATTGCAGTACAAACCCTAGGTTCCTTTGGGGGAGTTTTTGTTTTTTCTATATTTTGTCTGGATATCAGTTGTAAAATAACATCCATAAACCTTAGGTGTTTTTTTATTCAGTGAATCACGTTGATCTTACTGAAAACCGCATTTTTTTGAACCAGAGGCTCCATCTTGCTTCGTCCTTGCTGCCACTGTCGACTGAAAGATTCAATGTCTGTCAACATGAGAAAGGAAGGCTAAGACTACTTGATTGGGAAAATTCAAGAAATTTATCGGAGGCTACTTCTTCAGAGATTGAAGGAAGATATTGAATTGAAGAGTTTATTGTTCTCTCGCAAACTGAAGGCTTTTTGTTCGAGGCTCTTACCCTATTTGACGTTATTTGTATTCTAAAGAGATTGTTGATTGACTGGTTCGAGGTGTTCGCTTGAAGTAATTCTTTCCAGTTGGCAAGCTCACTATCGCACCCAAGTTGTGAATAAATTTTGGGTCTTAGAAGGATTCCTCTTGATTGTTTAACTGAAGAAAAAAATTATCATCTTCTTTTGAATCAGTCAATCTTTGTATTCACTGGAGCTGTTCATGTCATCTTCGACGCTTTGAAGGCAATACTGGAGATCTGGAAAAAGGATATCATTTTGGTTGTATCGATTTATTAAGTTTTTTAAAGATCAATTGAGGCCTCTTTTTTGGTGGCCGGAATTCCTCCTCTTGCAATTGTGTTTTCTTTTTGGTTGTTTATATTTTCTGCAGAGATAAAAAGAAAAAAATGGCTGTTTATTATAAGTTTAAAAGTGCAAAAGATTTTGCCTCTATCCCTATCGAAGGACCCTTCATAACTGTTTCCAATTTGAAAGAAAAAATATTTGAATACAAGCAATTGGGTCGGGGTAACGACCTCATGGTCTTCAACGCCCAAACTAATGAAGGTCGGTGCTTATTTTTCTCAATTTCTTTCCTTGGTTGTTTTTCTCGATTTCTTTCCTTGGTTGTTTTTGTTCTAGTTAGCCAGGCTGAATCAGGAACCATTTAGACTTAGGTTATTTTGGTTAGTTCAATTTATCTGTTATAAAAATTTACCTTCATTCTGCATTGTTATGCATTGGGATCCTTAGTGTATACGTGGGATATGTGGTATGTCTGTTTATTTGTTTAGGATGTGGTTGTAGAAAATCGAGTTTTTACTGTTGTTCCTTAACATCATTTGTATTTTTCAGTGTGTGGCTAGCCTTGTGGGATGTGTGGTTTATTTGTTTAGGATTTTTTCCCTAGAAATTGAGTCTGTATTGTTAATTTTACACAATGTTTCGTTTAGTGTGGTTGGGTAAGTTTGTGCTTTACTTATCGAACTTGCCCTGGCCTGTGTGGATTTTGTTTTTGTTCATCTGATACTTGTCAATGTTGATTGTGTTGGGTAGGCAGCCAACATAAAGCTTTGCCAAAACTTTCCATGATTCCTGATGATACTTTTCAATGTGCATACCTATATTCTAGTTGGTCTCACGAGTGACTTCTGTAGGTTCCAGTGCATACCTATATTCTAGTTGACCTCACGAGTGACTTCTGTAGGTTCTACTAAATTAGTTAGGTACCGGCTGCTTGGTTTGCCTGATACATCTCAACCAACCATCCAATTGCTATCCAAAATTCATGGGTTTATACATGGGATATGTGGTATTTCAGTTTATTTGTTTAGGATGTGGTAGTAAAAAATCGAGTTTTTACAGTTGTTCTTTAACAACATCCTTATTTTTCAGTGGTTGGGTATGTTTTTCTTTTTACCCTTTTTGAACTCTCTTGTGGTCCATATTCTCCCATATGGCTAGCCTCATGGAATATATGGTTTATTTGTTTAGGATTTTGCCCTAGAAATTGAGTTTGTATTGTTAATTTTACACTTGTCTGTTTCTTTTAGTGTGGTTCGGTAAGTTTGTGCTTTATTTATCGAACTTGCTCTTGTTTTTGTGGGTTTTGTTTTTATTCATGTGATACCTTTCAATATGGGTTGTGTGGGGTAGGCAGCCAACGTAAAGCTTTGCCAAAATTTTTCGTGAATCCTGCCTTATACACTTCTATGTGCGCACTTATATGCTAGTTGATCTCACGAGTGGCTTATGTAGGTTCTCCCAAATTAGTCAGGTCCCAGGTGCTTGGTTTACCTGATACATCTCGACAAACCATCCAATTGCTATCCAAAATTCATGGGTTTAGGACTTTTAGGGCGTCCCATTCTGCCTGGTTGTGGTTTGAATTTTGAACTAATTATGCAAACCTTTATATCGAAATCTGCGCTGTTCGATTTCAGAGTATGCTGATGAAGCAATGTTGGTGCCCAAAAATACTTCAGTTTTAGTTCGTTTGGTTCCTGGAAGGCCTCGCTTGCCCATTGTCACTGAAAGAGAAGAGTATTGTCTTGCACTTCTTACCTCATGGTGTAGACATATGAGTTTTTTCTAAAGAGCATTTTGGAGAACTCATAACTTTAATTTTGTTATTTCTTTAAAAGGATTGTCTACAAAGAGATATTTATCTTTTGTACATGGAGATCACAATCATTTTTTTCCCTTAAATTTCAAAATGGGTGGTTGTAAGAGTGTCATTAAATTGAACACAGAGTTCCAAAATTTTTTTTTCGGACTTTGTGATTCACCCCAAGCCATCCAATTTGACATCTAATGAGTGAGAATGATTGAGACCTCCATGTACAGAAGTTAAATGGTCGCTTTATACAATCCCTTCTTTAAAATATAGAACCCTTCTCGCAATAGTAATGTATAGCAATGGACCCTAAGGTAAGTAGTCTTTGTTCTGCTTGCAGGCCAAAAGTTTCAGAAACTCAGGTAGACCAAGTCTCACATTCTAAGAATAGCTCTCAGCCACCTGAACTATCCCAAATGAAACTTGTAAGTTTGAATCTCTCTGATCCTGAATTTAGTATGGGAAACATTTTTTTGAACATTAATATGCTTTTGAATAACTTAATGGGAAGTTTTAATAGGAAATTAGAAACCATACATTTATGATGGTAATGACTGGCTATATATTGCATTAAAATGGATGTCGCAGCCTGATGAGTCGGAATGGGATGAATTTGGAAATGATTTGTATGCTATCCCTGAACCGATTCAAGTTCTGTCGAGTCAGTCGAGTCAAGCACAAGAGGCCCTTCCTAGTAAGGCTGATGAGGATAGCAGGATTAAGGCTTTCATTAATTCAACTGCGTCAGATTGGCAAAGGTGAGTGGAAACTGTAGAATGTAAATTTATGTTATCTGGCATGTTCTGCATTGAGTTTTTCCATCACGTTAAGCTTGTTGTTTATCATTTTTTTAACAGTACTTAAGGTATTATATTTTAGCCTTTGGATTTCTTATCAATGGCCACATCAGCTGTGACCTCACTTATTGGATTGGATATTCAGGCAAACACAGGAAGCTTATAGCTCTGGAAGAGGCTTTGGAAGGGGTATGGGTGGAAGAATGATGGCAGGGCGTGGCTTTGGTACTATCCTTACCTGTGGCCTAGAACTACTACTTCTGAGTTAACTTAATATGTGATTTCAATATACTAGTGCCTACCTATAATATAAACAATTGTACATAATAGACTAAGTTAATGTGGATTTTCCAATTTTACTATTCCCTTATATTAGTTTCCCTCAGTATTTGATGTGCTATTGTTTAAATGGTGATGTATGGATCTCTTATTTTCATTCGGTCTTTTTCTTCTTTTCAATGAATCAATTATTCCATGCATTTGTTTCTTTGTCAATTATTGTCTTTGTCTTTTTTAAAGGTCGAGGGGGTTTTGAACGCAAGACACCTCCACAAGGCTATGTCTGTCATCGTTGCAACAACCCTGGTATTTTAGTTGTTTGTAATTTTCTTTCATTTATGTTTGTGATTGTCAACTTTCTAGTAAATAATTAAGGATGTTTTTGCAATCTCTCCACAGGGCATTTCATTCAGCATTGTCCGACAAATGGTGACCCCAATTTTGATATTAAGAGGGTGAAGCCCCCGACTGGAATTCCTAAGTCAATGTTAATGGCAACCCCAGATGGTTCATATGCTCTGCCAAGTGGTGCTGTTGCTGTACTGAAGCCAAATGAGTATGATAAATATCCTTTGTTTCTGAGGCTTTTGGCTATTCTAAATTTAGATTTTTCAATTCTTTTGTCTAAAGACTCTCTGGGTTGTTTAAACTGTGCTTAAAATGATAATCTACTTTGGGCAGAGCTGCATTCGAGAAGGAAATTGAGGGCTTACCTTCAACTCGTACAATCAGCGATCTCCCTCCAGAGTTACGGTGTCCCTTATGTAAAGAAGTTATGAAGGATGCTGTTCTCACTAGCAAATGCTGTTTTAAGAGTTTCTGTGACAAGTGTAAGCCTTTCTCATTTCTTCATATCTGCTTATATGCTGATAAATTCGTCCCTCACTTCCAAATCGTTTGTAGAAAAAGTTATAAATATGAAGAAACTGACATTTACCTTAACATATCCCCTCTACAACTTAGGTGGGCTATAAACTCACTTCAGTATGTTCTCCACCTGGTCAAACTGGAAAAGACCCTATCAGGCTTTGTTTTTCAGTTTTTGGCTGGATGTGTGCTTGAAAGGAGTTCTTAATTATTCCTTAACTGTGGTCTTGTCCATCTCTTTGTAACTTCTGAAGCCATTTGGGGAAGCAATGTCTGATCAGCCTAATTTATCTTATGTCTCTTATCAGGTATAAGGGACTATATCATTTCCAAGTCAATGTGTGTATGTGGTGCTATGAATGTCTTGGCAGATGATCTGCTCCCTAATAAGACGCTTAGGGATACCATCAATCGCATCCTGGAGTCGAACACGAGCAGTGCAGAAAATGGTGGGAGCTGGCTACAAGTTCAAGGTATGTGTGCTGATCATTGCTTTTTCATAAAAGTTGAAAGTAGCTGGGGTCAATTTGCAATCTCTGATTGGGTTTATTTTTTATATCATTGCAAATGTGCGGTTTGCTTTTGTTAGATATGGAGTCTACCCGTTGTCCCAGACCAAAAGCACCTTCCCCAACTCTTTCTGGAACTGCAAAAGAAAATCACACGCCTCCTTCCAAGGAAGCAGCTCAAAAGTTGAAGGAGACTGTAAATGATGAGAAGGCTGTTTCTCAACAGTGTCTAGAGGGAAATAAATCTGCAAAGAATGTTGATAGATCAGAAGCTGCCACGCTGGATACAATGAGTATGAAGGAGCCGGTGTCACAAGAGAGTGCTCCAATGGCAGAGGAGGAAGTTCAACAGAAGTTACCTGCTGGTGAGCAAGGTGAGGATGCATTATGGGTTGGAGATGCAACTGGCATGATTTTCAAGGAGTGGAAGGAAATCATGGGCAAGGCCATTGGCAGTGCAACCAAGTGTTCTGAATTATTTACGCTTCATGGTTTTATTTGGTTTGGCTGGATTCTCAATGCTTTTTTGTCAAATAAACTATGTTATTTGTGTGGTGTTTTAGTTTCTGCCTGTTGGACCTTGATTATGGCCAAATTTAGGGGGTGCCAGTCTTGTTATAGTGTTAGATTTATTCTTTGTTTTGATCGGTGGGGTTGAGTGTCATTGCGTTGAGCTATTCATTCACTTCTAGGTCAACATGGATATGTTTGTCTTGGATTATTTGTGATTCTTCATGTTCTTTAGATTTCTTTAGTCCCCTGGGTTTGTCATGCTTGACTATTTTGACTTGCCCTAGTTTTGACATCCGCTGATGCTTTTCCATGATATTTTTGCCTATCGCTTTGCAGCTAAGAAGAAGAAGAAGAAGAAGATACGCCAACCTTCTAATGGTATGTTTAGATTTTCTTTTTTGTAAATATGTAAATAATAGTTTTATTCATTCTCAAAAAAAAAATTTATTCTCAAAAATAACAGTTTTATTCTAGTCTTTTTTTTTTTTTAAAGCTTGACTTTGAATCTTATTTGTCTTGCCAAATGTAGCCAATGACATGCAATGGCGTGCCTCTCAAGATTTTGGAGCTGAAAACTGTATGATGCCCATGGCTCCTGGAGCCTATAATCCATTTTGGCCTGGGGTTCAGTGGGGAATGGATGGATATATGGCAGCTGTTGGTGGAAGTCCTTATTTGGGTTATGCCCCTACCCCCTTTGACGTGCCTTTTCCTGGGGTTTTATCTCAAGATCCATTTGCAATGCAACCATACATGTTGCCTGTTCCTCCTCAAAGGTATGATGAACGGGTGGTTTTAAATTTGATTGATTGAGTTGATTTCTTTATTCAATGGTCATGGATTTTTTGATAATTTAGAGACCTCATGGAGTATGGTGTCGGTGCAAACTCTGCTGCTCCTGTTATGTCAAGAGAAGAGTTTGAGGCCCGAAAAGCCGACTTGCGGAGGAAACGTGAAAATGAAAGGCTTATTGAGAGGTAGATATCCTTGCTCAGGCTGTTACTACAAATTTTTGGTTACCACAAATATGTCATCATTATCTTTTTCAAAAATAAAATAAAATATTTATTTACTATTAAGTTGTGTCCAACAATGGGGCTATGATTTATCACCCTAAAAGGGTTATGTTGGGGTGCTCACACCATGGAGTAGTTTATCATTGTACTCAATAATTTTGGATACTTCTATACTCTTGTTTTGTACGAGAAATTTTTAATAAGAGTGTTTTTGGTCATTAAGAGGGTGTGATATCATTCCCATGAGGTGTAACATCACCCATATGGAGCATTAAATGCCACTAATGTGCTCCATGTGGGTAATGTCCCACCCCGTGTGGATGATGTCGTACCCTCCTAATGACCAAAATACGTTTATTAAAAACATTATCTATGTATAAAACGAGGGTATAGAAGTGTCCAAAATTATTGAGCACAGTGATAAATTACTCCATTGTATGAGCACCTTAACATAACCTTTTTTAAAAAAAGTCTACATTAAAATATTTATAAGTTCCACAAGTTTTATTTAATACTTTGTTGAATGAAAAGCATCTTATGTTGGGGATTTTGAAAATTTGTTGTGTCCAAAAATCATTAACATTGGTCAAATATCCATTTGAGTCGCACTTGTCACTATAAATTTAATGAAAACATGAAACATAAGCAATGATAAAACCTCTAATCGTCTGCTGCAAAAAAAATTGCATAGCTATTTTAATGTTATATGGAGTAGAGGTTAGTTGTTGGTCTTAACGTGACAGTAATGTGTTTGGTTTTATTTAGAGGTAAGCAGTAACGTTGGATGTGGCCTTGATCATGTGTGTCGTGTAATGGGTGGAAGTAGGGTGGAGCAACAAGTAGTTGTGATGGTTAAAAAAAGGATCGGATGATTATATATTAATTTTTTTCGTATTAGGTTATTTATACATTCGGAAGAATAAGTGGGTGCAGGTTACTTCTTATTGCCTGATTTTTTTTCTTTGATGAATAAGTGAGGGTTTTTGATTGGTTGAATGGATACTATGATGGGAAATAGTGAATGATTCTACAGAAGGGGAATGAGTTGGTGAAATGATTGAGTGTGTTTAGGAGAGGATCGGTGGTGGAAGCATGAGAGGCTGGGAATGAGGAGAGGTGGAATTAAAAAGAGAACGTTTTTGAAATGTAAGTAATACGAGAGAGATTATTGCCTGCCCGTGCAATGGGTAGAAAAAGGCTGCCATAATTTGGATTGCCTGGATGAGATAGGTCCTTTTTTGTCAGGCCAGTGTGAGTTGGGGTTCTTCTCTCCTTTGTGTGAAACCGTACGTGCTTCATTTGTTGTTCATTTAGTTCGAGTGAGCAGTGGGTCCTGAGTTTCTCATGAGATTTTTTTACTCTTGAGAGGAGAAAGGATTTGTTTGCCTTATGTTTTGTGTTGATCATCTTTTGTTTTGTATACAATGAGACCATTTACCTTGTGTATGGTTATCTCAACTAATCTTGACCATTGGATGTGAAGTTGGGTGGCTGCATTTATTCTTTTGATTGATCGAACAAAACAAAGTTCAAAAACCCAAGCTATCAGATTTCACATTAAGACCTTGTTCCAAAGGATATTAAATGGTCTTATTATATGCGATCACATTAAGTATTGGCAAGAGGATTTGAAATAGCTTCTGTATTTGTTTGAGAGAGAGAGTTGCCAGCAAGTCATTTCCTCAATCTTTAAATATTTGTATGGCAGGGGAAGTTCAAAAGACAGAGATGGCTCCAGGGATTTGAGCATCACCAGCAAGGAAGCACCGTCGAGATTAAAACCTGTAAGCGATTCTTCACCTTATTCTGATCTTGTTTTGGTTGTTGTTGAAGTAGATGTTTCTAGAGCTAGCATGATCGTAATAATTATGATGGAAGGTCTTCTCAAAGTCTTTTCTTGGGAAAAAATCTCCAAGAAACAGGACACAGTGCACTTGTGCTGCCTTGGTTGCGAGCATCTTTTGTTTTTGTTTTGCTTTTTTTTTTGCCAGCAAAAGCTAATGAGATCCTTAATGAACCAATTCAAATTGTTATAGGCAACGAATCCGAATGGTTCGAAATGTATGAATGTATCATATGAGGTGGCCTTTGCATTTAAACGCCCTATTTGAAGATGCATCTTATTCGTATGTTCTGATTAGAGATGTCGTGTTTGATTCGCATGGGACCTATTCTGATAAGGAAAATTGTTTCATGCGGCAGGGAGCGCATTTCTACATTTGCGGTCCCCGAGGTATAAGGTATCCATCTTTAAGATGGATGGAAATAGGTGGTCCATCTAATAATAATTGAAACCAACAGTCCAAATGTTTTCTTAATCAAATTATATTATTAATTTTTAAAATATATTTATTTATTCATATTCATGATCGGCCGGTTAGAGATTAAATGTCCTTAAAAATTAGGTTAAAAAATTCATCTCAGAAAGAGATTTTCCAAAAATCCATGTCAAAAAGAGATTTTTAGGAAGTGACTCATTTCTACAAGAACATATAAAAACCGTGTCCTTCTAATAAACCCCCTGTGTCTTTACTGAAACATTGAGATAAGATGCATCTTCGTACAAGATTTGGGCGCTAATGCAAGATTTATGTGCCGCTGTACCCCCATTCAAATGAGCCCTGTTTGAATTTCTCCCGACCTTGTTGTACTGCCAATGTCCCCAATATTTTTAATTCTACACTCAAAACCCTATCATTGTTTTTTTTTGTTTTTATCTTCTCCTAGTCAAAAAGTAAATCATTTTAAAACTAAACTACCTTTCTCTTCTCTCTACCCGGCCTCTCTCTCTCTTTCTCTCTCTCGACTTAAGCTTCCGAACACTTTTGAGTTGGAGAGAAATTTTAGTCCGGCACAACGATCACAAGCTCTTGAAATTTAGAAGCTGTGATAAAATTGTTGTGCCCTGCCTTGTGTGTGGGGCTTCTAGATTTCTTGAAGCTTGTGATTGGTTGGGCACAATCTTTTGTGTTGGACCGATTTTTTTATTGGTGGTACAACACAAAAGTGTACAGGACGTCTTATGGGACTTTTAAAGCCAAATTTAGAGAGAGGGTGGGTAGAGGGAGAGAGAGGGAAAGGGTAGTAAAAGTACAAAAAAATAGTGACCGTGTTTAGAGTATGATACTAAAAGTATTCGGGGTTAAAAAGAAAAGGTTTAAGACGTTGTGAGAACATGCAGATTAGCACAATATTCCAATAATGTGCAAATAAAAGAGGCCAAAGAACTAGAAAAGAAAAAAGAAGGAAAATTTATCAAAATACCCACGAGAGAGATATACCATCATGTATATTTAGATAGAATTAAATCAATGGGGAAAGGTTTCTATACTTCCCCTACAGTATGGAAGATTTATGTTTCCCCGTCGAATTTTGATCAAAGAGAGCCACTCACTGTTTGATCTTAGATCTAACTTCACGAAGTATTTTATTTTTAGGTTTTTTTTATACAAATTGTATGAATATGAAATTTGATACGTGCCATCTTCTCATTGGTGCGTATCTTTAAAAAAAATTAAAAATAAATTTTTGATAAAATATAATGACAAAAATACCTTTTGAAACTTTCAGAGGTATTTTGGCTGTTACTGGAGATATTTGTTCTATATTTTTTGCTGGTGCGTGTTTAATAGAGGATTGGACGTTCAAAATTTGGTGTCAAAATGGTTTATAGAAAAAAAATTAAAAGAAAATAGTGTAGAAATGTGACATTGTGATCGGGGCAATCTTAGCCTTCCATTCAGAATGGACGGTTAGATAAGGGGAAGTATATAATTTTTAATGATGTATCATAGGTATTTTGGTGAACTCTTAAAAAAAAAGGAAGGAAAAATATATAATAAGACTGTTTGTCTTTAGTACAAGGTGGTCACAATTAATCTTGACCATTGAATGTGAAATTTGGAAGGCTTTATTTATTTAATTGATCAAGCTCAAACTTTAATAGAAATTTTCTCAAAGTTTGTGACACACCCAGGATATCAGAATTCACTTCGGATGGGGTTGTAAGTAATTGTGATATTAAAAGTAAATGATCTCATTGTATATATAATTCCCAAAAAAAAAGCATTTCCCTCCTCCCAACACGGATGCTGTTGGCCATCGATGGTTCGGGCAGTACATGGAAAAACAATTATCCATGCCGTAAATGGAAAATGACCTCTTGCTAAATGACCACAATGCATTTTCGTGACAGCCGGGTGGGTTGGGGATTATGCATGGTTCGTCACTTTTTTTCCGTTGAATGCGACTTCAAATCAATAGGATGTTGTGGTTGATATTGAGCGTTAGCACCCAAAAATAAAATAAAATAAAATGGAGCCTTTAAAAAGGAAAAAGGGTGTTAATACCCATACGACATTAGGTGAAGCGGGAAGTGCGGATATGGTTGGGTCGTTTTTCTCATTCTTTGGGGTGACGATGTGAGCTTTGAATTAGGGGAGGTGATGGGCCGGCTGCCTGCCCCGGCTAAGCCACGAAGCAGCTCGTGCTGTTGAAACTTAAAGAGGGCCGGCCTGGGCAAGTATGAGGCAGGCCCGTTGGCAAGCTGTTCGTAATCTTTGTGTTCAGTTTTTTTGACCTTTCTTTTCAGTTTTATTTGAATTCCTTTTCTGAAAAAAAGCTTGTAAAAGAAAAATGATTATCCGGGTTTCGCTTTTAGTGAGGGTGTAGCAAATATTTAAGATGCTCCTTTTAAAACTTGGAAGTGGTTGGTACTTGAAAAAAAAAAAAAAGGAATTCTCTTACAAGAAGAAAAAGGGTTTGCCATCTACTCCGCCCGTTCTACCCATAAAGGCGTCGAAATCCTGGAGTGCTGTTAAAAATCCTATTTATTTATTTGCATGATAATATGAAAAAGCGCATAGAATATTTGTCATTTTAAAATGTCTAAAATTAAAGGGGAGGACAATCTGGATATTTCTTGGTAAATGGGCTGAGTAAATGTTTTTGTACACTTTCACATATTTTGGACATGTTTATTCATTAAGTAGTACCTATTTTGGAATTAATTAAGATAAAATCCTACAAAATGCAGAAGTTAATGTCGCAGGCTGCGAGCGTAGATCGACCAGGTCGTGAGTCTAGTTCTGTCCGCCCCCACCGTGAGGCCCCTGAGCTGTTGCGTGCTGCCGCAGCAGCTCCCTCTTTAAAGATGAAAGCACATGATGTGCTCCCACCCGAGCAGCCCGCACCAAATCCTAGTGATGCCAAACGATTGAAGGGAAGCGTGTTCTCTCGAATCAGTTCCCTGACCACCCCCCTTCTACGACTGCTTCCGCATCTCACAGTAAGCAACAAGTTGAGCAACAGAGGCCCAAAGAGAGCCATGGTCATGGCCATGAAAGGAAGGTATCTTCATCCTCAAGGAGGGGGAGGTCAATGAGTCATGAAGAGAGCGATGAAGAAATGCATTTTAAGAGGAGGTCTCGCCATGATGACCGGGAATTTGATGGGCCTCCTAGGGGATCTAGGGACCGAGACCGACACCACGGACATGAGTACGAGCGTTGGGAGAGAGAGAGGATTAGGGAATAACTAATATAAGATTCACCTTAGAGGCTTAGACCCCTTTTCTTGCCGGCAGTTCTCATTCTTCACAAAGTATAAATATTGGGAAATTTCTATTACTCCAAATAGACAAGGGTGCTTGTAAGGAGAGAGGGAAAGGAGACTTGTAATGTAATTTATTTGCTTGATAAATGCATTTAGAGCTTTCATCTTTTCTTGTGCTTTTGCTGAGAAAGTGGATGAAAATGTACCTCTTTAAATAATTTGTTCAATAATATAAATATCAAGCGATTTCATGCTGTTCAATTGATTCTTTTTTCTGGCGCAACAATTTTTTATTTGCACTAGTTCTCAATTTCTATATTTCCTCTTTTTTCTAAAATTAATTGGCCTAAAAAATCCCTGAAGAGTTTTTACTAATTCCCTCAACTACAGAGAAGGGGTATATTCTTATGTTGGTAATCATGTTATTATGATTTAATTAATTAGTTATTCGCCACACACGACTTTGGTCAGTGTCCAAACCATCGAGGGCACGGTGATTACCTCATTGTTATTATTATTATTATTATTTCCATATGGTTATGCCATAAATGGCCTTTCTACGAGTCGGTCAACTCATTGAACCCCTCAAAGTGACGATGGATTTTTTATTCAAAACTTTAGGGATTCATCATCTTAGCCAAGCCAATCATAAATGTAAAAAGATAAAAATATTTTAACTTAAAAATGTGTTTTTCTTTGGGGATGTTTTTGGTACCGTCCATATCTCACTTGACCTTGTGCACCTTACACAACGTCCATCTTAAAGATGGACGTTGAAGAGTCGGCTGGCTCTTGCACCCGTTGACTAATAGAACACTTTTCCTTATAATATATACATTATCAAATTGCAAACCACTAGTGTTTGTAAACCATTGTTCCTCTGACAACAGTTAGAGCCCCTGTAATATGATTCGTGCGACAATGATAGTTGGTTTTTGTTGTCTTAATGGAGGCGTTTTCAAAAACTCATTAGTGAATTACCTCTTTACTCCCCATTCATCACCATCCAACCAATTGATTTGATGGTGATAAAGCACTTGGTCACTATTGCTGTTTTTACCATGTATAATAGAATATTGGGAAAATTACAGGAAACCTTCAAGCATAGATTTCTTATGCAACTTATCCCAATCAAATTTTTGTTTTCAATTTTTATCTCAAAATATACTTTTCTAGTAAATACCCCCAATAAAAAATAAGATAAAAGAAAGACTAAACTACCTTTCTTTGACTTTTACCCACGCCCCTCTCTCTTTTGGGCAAAAGTGCGGTCCAACAGATATACATGGCAGTATGGCATTATTCTTTCTGGATAAACATGCGGTCCAACACTTCTGTTCCTTGACAAACATGCGGTCCAACGGATAATAAAGGTAGACTGACACTTTTTTTAGTTTAACGGGTTAGGCAATTAGTACTTGGTAGTATGGCAACCTATGTAGCTTTTGGGGTAAAAAGTGAGAAAAAAAGTTTGATCGGAAATAAGTTACTTTTTGGGAGGTTCTTGTAATTTTTCCTAAAGGTTTTTCCCTTTAAAGTCACTCACTTTTGAAGTTGTGTCATTTTGGTGCGCTATGTTCTCTCTATGCTATACTTGTAAGAGAAATGTTTGAAAAGTTTATATAGAGTCGAGCCTCTAAACAATCAAATTAGAGCCTACCTCAACTATTTCACTAGAAGAGGTTGTTTGATGCCCAAATATCCTCAAATTGATCATCTCGACATCAAGATGCATGGACATGAGAAAACAAATGCATTTTTGGACCGTCAATTTTCAATATTTTCAAGTTTTTATAGATATGTCGATCTACATTATTTTTAAAGCTATATACTTTATAAATCAAGGTAAAAATATATTTTATGACGATCACAAAGATTTCTAGAATTTAAATCACATTTCTCGACACTATGTGAAGGTAGATTCTAATTTGATTGTTTAGAGGCTAGGCTCTATAGAAACCGCACCCTTATATAAGTTATCCACCTTGTACAATGGAAAAGTGAGGTGTATTTCAAAAAGCTCTAAAATAAAAGATAATGTATACAATATGACCATTTATACTTAGAAAAAGGAGATCCTAAATCTCGTTGACCTTAAGATGTAAAATTGGGTGGTTGAAGGTATGTCATTGAATGGAAGAAAATATCCAAAATAAAATTATTTGAAATTTGTGATGCACCCCAAATCATCGATTTTCACATCCAATGGCTAGGATTGGTTGTGGCCTCCATGTCCTGAAAGTAAATCACCTTATAGTATAGAATCCTAAAAAAAAAAAAGTTGTTTCAACATGAAAAAGTCATATAATGATATGTAAACATTTTTTTAATCTATTTTAAATATTTTTAAGTATTTATTGATTTATTTCTAGATTGACGAATTTTGTAGTTAGGGGCAAAAACAAATTTTATGAGTTTTCGGCGCCAAAACGACATTTTTGGATGGGATTTGAAAATGTGCCTTATTTTCTAATGTTTGAATTGGCTTCCAAATGCATTAAATACGCTTTCGCCGTGTTTGGTAACTTAGAAAATATGAGAAAACAAACCGTTCTCTTAGCAACCTTTTCCCAAGTTTGGGAAGAGGAAAGGTGGAGAGTCGAGGGGCTCAGTGTTTTCCTGTTTTCCCCCGACCGCCGCAATGGGTCACTTACATGCAGGTAGAACAGTCACAATGGGTCACATTGGCGCATCCAAACTACCATCTTGGTCGGGGAATAATATTATCAAAAAAGTAAGAGAAAAAAATATGAATCGTCAAAAAATAAGATAAGTTATAAAATCGTGAATATTTTAGTTTGGCTTAAAAGAACGGAGTGAAAAAATCGGCTATATAAATAAGATTTGATTTAAGATTATGATTTGTAGTTATTGTATAGATATATTAAAGCCATTGAACAATAATTTTATGACCTGGTCTAAGAGTAATACTTGACGATTTTTTGTTTAAACTTTCAATAAATCTAGTTTATTCTATTGTCACAACACAAAAATATCCTACATCTATTGGGAGCATAAAATGAAACAAGAATAAGAATACTAAGCACAAGAATTACATTAGTAAATGAAAGAAATGTAAACCAAGGTTTATGATTGTTTAAAAAAAATAAAAACAAAAAAGACCCTTACTATATAGAATTGTAGTTAATTAAAACAAAACACAAATACCAAATATGTAAAATAGTTGTCCATCCAAAAGTACTATGTTTTTATATGCACCAATAAAATAATAAATATATAAAACAAAACACAAATACCAAATATGTAAAATAGTCGTCCATCCAAAATACTATCGTCTATAAACCAATAAATAAAAATATAAAATTACTCAAACTTTTGTGTACATAAAGAAAGCAACAAAATCTTTAAACAAATTCAAATCTCACACTAAATTCTTAGTTGTCTAAATCTTTGGTGTCATTGCAAAATGTTTAAGCAAATTCAAATCTCACACTGAACTTCTAGTTGTCTAAATCTTTCGTGTCATTGAATCTTTTTATAAGTACTATCTAAGTCTAAAGAAAATGAAATATTTTTTATTGGGTTACTCTTATTCTAACTGTATTTATTATTTTGAGATATAAGATCATTTTAATATTTTATTATTCTGAAAAATATATTGCTTTTATTTTCTCATACATTTTTTAAGAAATTTTATTGGTGAAATGCTTGATGGAATTTTTTTTGTTAAAATCAAGATTATTAATTTACTATGATTATTAATGTGCTTATTTTATAATATTATATAAATGAAAAAAAAAAGAAGTTATTGATAAGAAGTTTTTTTTTAAAAGGCCCGTCCGCCCTAGTGCTTGCCTCTGCTCGCCTGAGCCAGGGTCTACTCGCCCGTCACGCGTCTCACCTTCTCGTGTACCAGGTACTCTCTCTTCCCATTCCCCCGTCTTTTCTCTCTCTCCTCTGAGCTCACCTCTCGCGATGAAGGAAGGGAGAAATAAGGCTTGGGGCGTGGTATTTTTGCTCGCCTATTTGTATAGGGTTTTTATATATGGTTCTTTTACTGGTTTTTGTTGCTCTTCCTTTTGTACTTGTGAATGTAATTGTGTTATTTTACTCACCTATTAATCTATGGTATGGGGTCTTGTTACTTTTTCTCTCTCTATTCTATTCGTCAATGGTAATGGCTTGATATGTATACTGATAATGTAGTAATTGATTATTCTTTACGAAGAAAGATTATGTATTTTCTCTCTGTTCTTTTTGTTCTTCTGTAATATTTTGTCATCTTTCCTAATTTTATTTGGGTTTCAATTCCAGAAAAATGTGGAACGTGAGCTATTTTGGCTTCTGATATTGACCAGAAGAGAATTGTAAAGGATTGTAATGGATGAAGGAATTTCCGGGGTTTTAAATTTAGATTGAGGAAGTTCCAGCAGTATTGACTGTAAAGTTGCCATCTCAAAAAAAAAAAAAAAAAAAAATAGAGGAAATTCATATTAACACATATTTAAGAATTATTTCAAAATTATAGAACTATTGGATGTCCATTCTGAAACTGTGGAGTTTTATATGTGAATTCAAGGTGCACATTCAGTAAACGAGATGATCAGTGTTTTTTGTAAGAATAAAAGGAAATGATAGATTTTTAAACTAATATCTCTCTAAAGCGTTGTTGATTGTCTGCTGTTTATTGGGCTAAATTTTTCTGAAACTCTCGGATGTTTATCAATTCCAATAAAAATACTCTTCTTGTTCCTTCTTCCGTTTTTTCTCTCTATATGTTGCAATGGAAAATTTGATCTTTTTGAGGTGTTTGGGATGGTCACATGAACTTTGTTGTAATTTGAACTATTTGCTTATTCCCATATTTCTTTTTTTTGAGAGTGTCGAAGAAGTTTATTTTTTTGCCTGCTTTTGGCTTATCTTGTTATCTTGTTAAACTGATTTGTAGATTTGAAAGTCTCCAAAAAAAATCAATGGAACAATTAGAATATTTTTAGTTTTTGGTTGTCAAAATCCACAGAAGAATTTCTTATTTCTCTGAGTTTTTAGAAAGACTGTCCTTCTTTCTTGTGGTTGTGGATGAAATTTATGGGATTCTTAGCAGAATGGTGATCCACCAGAGTTTAATTCTAGAATACCTCCCCTTTTCATGAAGCATTTAAGATCTATGAAAATTGGAATATTGAGGGCTGTCTAACCAATGAATTATGACACTGGTACCCTTTTCCTCCTTTTGGCTTCGTTCCTTTATCATGTTTGTTAGTGCTTTGTCAAGTACTTGAATGAAATACTTGATCTTTTTATTTAGAATGTTTACTTGTATTGAGGTAAAGAGAAAAATACAAAGGTTGTCCTCCCACAAGGTGTGGTGAAGAACAGTAAGACCCTTTCCAGGGCAACAGAATTAAAACCCATAACAGGGCAACAGAAGTACAAAGATTTGATAGGATCAAAACCAAACTAGATAATATAGGGTGGACATCCCACATAATTTGAGCCCAGGGCTCCAGTTTTTGCTAGAGAGAAAATATTTGATCTTGTCTTCTAATTTTGATTAATCACTTCCTTTTTCCTGTTTTTTTTTTATTAAGCTCTATCTTCCACATCCCCCCCCCCCCCCCCCTTCCCCGCCCTTTTTCTTTCATGTGTAGGACTCTTTGGATTTTCAGGTACCTAGTTTTTCTTGTTGTGTCTATCATCTTCTCTTGATCTTTTGTGTTACCTACCGTATTGGGTCTGGGCTATCAAACAGAGGGTTTGAGAGACTTTCTCAGGCAAATAAGTATTGACACAATAGTTTCTCTCCCTTAAGGAACCACTTAAAGCTCTCCAATCTCCTTCATTTATTCTCATCTCATTCTTGTTCTCTTATCTCTTTAGAAATCCTTTCTGTTTCTTGTTCTTCTCTTATCTCTTTAGAAATCCTTTTTGTTTCTTGTTCTCTTATCTCTTTAATGTTGAATTTGGTATTAGCTTCATCTATTCGAAGATTTGCATATGATAACTTTGATCTACATTCCCAGGCTCCTCGTATGACATCTCTAACGGCTCAGAACCTGATCTTATTTGAGGCATGAGCTTCAAATAAGAGCGTGTTTGACCGGCTGAAGAGGGGGTGCCGTAGATCTCTATTCCACAAATTGTGGTAGTCATGGGGCATCGAAATGGGGTATCAAACAGAGGGTTTGAGAGACTTTCTCAGGCAAATAAGTATTGACACAATAGTTTCTCTCCCTTAAGTAGCCATTTAAAGCTCTCCAATCTCCTTCATTTATTCTCATCTCATTCTTGTTCTCTTATCTTTTTAGAAATCATTTTTGTTTCTTGCTCTCTTGTCTCTGTAATGTTGAATTTGGTATTAGCTTCATCTATTCGAAGATTTGCATATGATAACTTTGATCTACATTCCCAGGCCCCTCATATGACATCTCCAATGGCTCAGAACCCGATCTTATTTGAGGCATGAGCTTCAAATAAGAGCGTGTTTGACCGGCTGAAGAGGGGGTGCCATAGATCTCTATTCCACAAATTGTGGTAGTCATGGGGCATGGAAATCGCGTCTAAAGTGGTCATATTTTCAGCTTCATGCGTCTTTATCAAACAGGAGAATCTTGATCGGTAGAACTTGTCTCCTAATCTTAAACAGTTCCATCAATAAGACATGCCTGCCCTGAGGGTCTTAGAAGAACTTCTCTCTGTCTTCCCTCCCCCTCTCTCTATCAAAAGTAAAAAATCAAGTTCCATTCTTTCTCGTGATTGTTTAGTGAAAGTAGTTTGCGGTTCAGGGTACGCACTTTTACAATAGCAAGCCTTGACACATAAAAAATGGTAGTCCCCATAAAAATTTAAAATCGGTGTTAAAACTATTTTCAAAAAAAATTATTAGTTATGTTAAAATTTATTCTTTTCAGGTTCCTGCTTATGTTTTAGAGAGAGGACTCATTTAACTAGGTGAATCGGCTGACTCATGGATACCTTGTTCTTTCTTTGTAGAGATGGAATCACAATGTATGTGTTTTGGTGTGGAGTCACTGGGCCTGTCATGATCATAACCCAATGTCCGATGCATCTCTTCCCCCCTCACTACGTGACCCACGTGACCCACGTGAGCCACTCTCCATCGCGCGTGCCCTCACCCATGCCCTCTTGGCCCGCTCTGCCCCCCTTGCCTTCGCCCTCCACGCCCGTACCATCTCCCTGGGCCTCGCCTCCTCCCGCTTCCTCCTCACCCACTTCCTCAACTTCTACTCCAAATCCAACCTCCCCTCCCTTGCCCTCTCCCTCTTCATCTCCCTTCCCCGCCCCGATGTTGTCCAATGGACCTCTCTCATCTCCTCACATTCTCAGCTCGGCCGCCCCCATGAAGCCCTCAAGCTCTTCGTCTCCATGCTCCGCCTCGCGCCTCCTCTGCCAAATGACTTCACAATCCCCTGTGCTCTCAAGGCCTCAGCCTCGGTCGGAGACCTCGGGTTCGGCCGATTGATGCATGCTCTTTCCGTCAAACTTGGCCTCATGTCGCACCCTTTTGTGTCATGCGCTGTTCATGATATGTATGCGAAGTGTGCACGCCCCGAATTAGCGGCTGCTGTCTTTGATGAGTCAACGAACCGCACACTTGCATCATGGAATGCTGTGATCTCGGGCCATGTTCTTAACACGAACCATGGTGGTGCGGTTGGTACTTTCTTGGAGCTTAGACGTGAGGGCCTCGAGCCCAATTCGATCACGCTGTGCGCATTCCTTAATGCGTGCGCTGATGCTTGCTGGCTTTTTGAGGGCACTGAACTCCATGCTTTGGTTGTGAAGTTAGGCTATGAGGCATGCGTCTCGGTTGCTAATGGACTGATCGATTTTTATGGAAAGTGTCGTCAACTTGCTTCTTCCAAGGCCGTGTTTGTGTTAGTTCACGAGCCTAATGATGTGACTTTTAGTTCGATGCTTGCTGTTTATGCGCAGAATGGAAGAGAAGAACAATGTCTTGGCCTATTTTGCGAGGTGCGAAGGCTTGGTGAGCCAGCCACTGAGCACATGGTGTCGATCGTTTTGAGCTCGTGTGCACGCATGGCTGCACTCGCTGAGGGGCGGTGGGTTCACGCCACTGCTATAAAGGCTGGGCTTGACGAGAACATCTTTGTTGGGTGTGCACTAGTTGATATGTATGGAAAATCTGGGAGCTTACAATGTGCGTGTGATGTTTTTGATGAAATGCCTGAGAGAAATTTGATAACTTATAATGCTATGATTTCGGGTTATGCACAACATGGAAATGTAAGGCAAGCTCTACAAATTTTCGAGGACATGATTGGGTTTGAAAGCATTAAACCAAATTATATAACACTGGTTTGTGTGCTCTCAGCATGTAGCCATGGAGGCTTGGTGGGCACGGGCTTGGCCTATTTTGATTCAATGACATCTCGTTTTGGCATCAAGCCAAGGGCCGAGCATTATGCATGTGTTGTTGACCTCCTTGGTCGAGCAGGCCAGCTCGATCGAGCGCATTGGCTCATAAGAACCATGCCCATCGAGCCAACTGTGTCCATTTGGGGTGCACTGTTAGGCGCCTGTCGGGTCCATCGAAATCCAGAATTGGGTCACATTGCAGCTGTCAAGCTCTTCGACCTTGACCCAATGGATTCGGGGAACCATGTATTACTTTACAACATGTACGCGTCAGCTGGTCGGTGGGATGAGGCTGTGGCAGTTAGAGATGAGATGAGAGAAGGGGGAATAAGGAAAGGGCCTGGTTGTAGTTGGATCACGGTAAAGAGCACTGTGCATGTGTTCCACGCGAAGGAGGCCTCACATGAGAGAATCAATGATATCCACAAGGTCTTGTCTGAGCTTGGGAGGAAAATGAAGGCAGCTGGTTATGTTCCTGATACCAACTTTGTGCTTTACGATATGGAGGAGGAGGAGAAGGAGAGTATGCTGTTTTTGCACAGCGAGAAGCTTGCTTTGGCCTTCGGATTGATTAGTATTGGAGAAGGAATTCCAATTAGGATTACCAAGAATTTGAGGGTTTGTGGGGATTGCCATAGCGCCATGAAGTTCATTTCGAGTATAGTCGAAAGAGAGATTATTTTGAGGGATAACAATAGGTTCCACCATTTTAAGGAGGGTTCCTGTTCTTGTGGGGATTACTGGTAAATTCTTGGAGTTTGTATAGTGGGTGAATTCCACCACGTAATGTGATTGGGCTGTCAGGATACTTATCGAATATGCGATTTTCCCAGGGATTCTGGAATCCCCATGCAACGGTAGTTCAAAGGTGGGCATCTAGATGAAAGTGGTGACAAATCTGATCTATTATTTCTCTGTTAGTTTTTGGGACTCTCTCATTCAGGGAATCGCTGCTAACTTATTATTTATGGGAACTATATGACATGAAGCACAATGGGTGCCATGGATACTTCTCTACTGTGAGATTTTTGGAGAATCATTGCCAGAAACAACAGTTTGAAAAGTGAGTTTAGGCTCTGTCTAAGAAGGCTGTAACAAGAGGATTTTTTCCCCTCTGATAGTTCTTGAGACTTCCCCTTTCTGGGGATATAATGATAAGCTAAGTTTTTGAGACTTCCCATTTCTGGAGATTACTGATAAGCTATTAGCTTTTTTAGTGAATAGATGTCATGAAACACAAATGATGATAATTGCCAGAAAGGACAGTTCAGATCATGGTGGTTTTACATAATAAGGTGGTTAAAATTGCTTGTTTTATCAGACTGAGAGATTTTGAGACTTAACACAACAAAGTTGACTAAACCACAAGAAAAATGTTAGTGAGAATTTCTCACCATGGCTTCATTTCCTTAATTGAGAATTGGATCTTCTAAAATTGCCTGTGAGTGAAGAAATGCAATTTTTAAAAGCATTGCATTTGAATGATCAGAGTAGTGTGAGCCACTCAGTATCAAGTGGAAAGATTTTAAGTTTCGAGGTTGTGTATCTTGAATGAATTGAGCTCTGCAAAACTGTTTGGTATTCTTTGAAGATAAAGAAGAAGATTCTTTGGCATTTGGCTCTTGACTTGGGCAATAAAAACTGCCTCAAAATTCAACGTTTGAATCCTGGCTCAGCGATCCTTTGGTGTGATTAACTGTTTATATTGATACTTGGAGTATGAAGTGTAGAGTATAATGGTTGGTGAGGTCCAAATGTATTATATACCAAGAAATGGCCAGAAGCATTTATGTGCAATGTTCTTAGACATAAAACGACCAATCTGACTGTTATATTGCATTTTATTCCTTTTTTCTATTTTTTTTCTGTGGAATTGATTCACCCTAGATGGTCCGATAACTTTCATATGAAACAATCTCCTAAATATTTTTGACAGCCGAACTGGTGGGACCGGAACACAATCTTTTATGATAACTTCATCCCAATGAATGAATTCTTCCATGCTTTTGTTTCTTGTTCAATTATTGTTTCTGTCTTTTTTAAAGGTCGAGGGGGTTTTGAGCACAAGACACCTCCACAAGGCTCTGTCACTGATGCAACAACCCTGGTATTTTAGTTGTTTGTAATTTTCTTTCATTTATGTTGTGTCATTGTCAACTTTCTAGTAAATAATTAAGGATGGATGTTTTCGCAATCTCTGTGCAGAATATTTCATTCAGCATTGTCCCACAACTGGTGACCCCAATTTTGATATTAAGAGGGTGAAGCCACCGACTGGAATTCCTAAGTCAATGTTAATGGCAGCCCAGATGGTTCATATGCTTTGCAAGTGGTGCAGTTGCTGTACTGAAGCCAAATGAGTATGATTAATATCCTTTGGCTTTGAGGCTTTTGGCTATTCTAAATTTAGATTTTTCTATTCTTTTGTCCGAACACTCTGTGGGTTGTTTAAACTGTGCTTAAGATGATTATGTACTTCTGGCAGAGCTGCATTTGAGAAGGAAATTGAGGGCTTACCTTCAACTCGTACAATCAGCGATCTCCCTCCAGAGTTACGGTGTCCCTTATTTCAAGAAGTTATGAAGGATGCTGTTCTCACCAGAAAATGCTGTTTTAAGAGTTTATGTGACAAGTGTTAGCCTTTCTCATTTCTTCATGTCTGCTTATATACTGATAAATTCTTCCCACTTCCAAACCGTTTGTAGCAAAAGTTACAGATATGAAGAAACTGATATTTACCTTAACATATCCCCTCTACAACTTAGGTAGGCTATAAACTCACTTCAGTATGTCCTCCATGGTGTCGGTGCAAACTCTGCTGCTCCTGTTATGTCAAGAGAAGAGTTTTGAGGCCCGAAAAGCCGACTTGCGGAGGAAATGTGAAAATGAAAGGCTCATTGAGAGGTAGATATCGTTGCTCAGGCTGTTACTACAAATTTTTGGTTGCCACAAGTATGTCATCATATTTATTTAATGCATTATCCTTTTTCAAAAAAAAAAAAACTATTAAGTTGTGTCCAACAATGGGATAAATGGCTATGATTTATAAAAAAAGGTCTACATGAAAATGTTTTAAGTTCCACAAGTTTCTTTAATATTTTGTTGAATGAGAAGCATCTTATGCTGGGGATTTTGAAAATTTGTTGTCCAAAAATCACTAACATTGATCAAATATCCATTTCAGTCGCCTTCATCGCTATCAATTTAATGAAAACATGAAACATGAGCAATGATAAAACCTCTTATCGTCTGCTGCAAAAAAAAATTGCATAGCTATTGTAATGTTCTATGGAGTAGAGGTTAGTTGTCGGTCTTAAGGTGGTAGTAATTGAATTCGTGGTACAAAATTTACCCTACCTTTACGTCTCTCTCTGTTAGGGACTTGATATATAGAAATAGAAAATAGGTTCTAACCCATTCGTGCTTCTCTTTGTAAAGGGCAGAATATGCGTAGATTAGATAACAGATTCTGATAAAATCTGTTCTCGACACGCTGTAAGCTACAGATTCAGCAGTGTAATTTTCCAGGCATTTACATTTCTCATGATATTAATTCTAAAAAACCAATGATGAACTTGGAACGGATTAAGTTCAACTGTTAAAAGATTGGCAACCTTTGAATTACCCAAAATTAAAGACATTGATGAGCATAAGGAGACCATTGTTATCACTTTCAAGAAAGCTTTTCAAAAAAAGAGAAATATATAAAAAGACTATTTACTTTGGGATTGTATACAGGGAGACCATTTACCTTTGATAGATATAACCATTTGAAGTGAAGTTTGATAGATTAGATGTGTCAAAAAGTTCGAGAAAATTTCTTTTGAAGTTTGAACCTGTTCAATGGAATAATTGCAGCCACCCAATTTTACATCTTATGGTCAAGATTAATATGACCATCTTGTATCAAAGATTAATGGTTTTATTTTTATTTCTTTTGAAATTTGAGATTATTCAATAGAATAATTGCAGTCACCCAATTTTACATCTAATGGTCAAGATTAATGTGACCACCTTGTATTAAATATTAGTCTAAACAATTGTAACTGTACTTTCCCATTTACTTTTAGTACAAGGATGTCACCAATTAAATTTTAAATGGGTGATGGTAGGAGTGCCGTTTCAAAAAGATATCCAAAGCTACCCAATTTGACCACTAATGGTAAGGAGTACCTGTAACCTCTTTGTAACAAAAGATAGTCCGTCTCATACCGTACAATCCCTTCTAGTGTGATTTAGCCTAGAGAATGTAGGTCAAAGCAATTGGAAGTTAAAAAACTTTTAACTTTTAACAAGCGTGACAAGTTAAAAAAGAGTTAAAAATCACTGTGTATACATAGCATTGGTATACACATGTTTAATAAGATGAATGATATAAATTATTTTTTTTTTTTTTTCAAAATCCTAGTTATATTATTTTCAAAAAAAAAAAATGATGTGGTTAGCATGCGGCCAAGCATGTACATATAGAAATGTGGGTTTGGGTAAATATATATTTTAAATAAAATTTGATCCTGATTTTTAGAGAATATATAATCTTTAAGATCATGAAAATATGAAAAAATGAAAACTAGAAATAATAATTATAAAGATTATATACGACGAGACTATTTACCTTTGATACAAGAATGTTATAATTACGTATAACCATCCGATGTGAAATCTGATAGCTTGGGTGTTTCGTAAAGTTCGAGATAATATCTTTTGAAGTTTGAGCTTAGTCAAGAAATAAATGCAGCCACCCAATTTCACATCTAATGATTAAGATTAATTGTGACCACCATATACATATGGTAAATGATCCCGTTCTATGCTCTCCCATGAGATCATTTGTCTTAAAGCTTATATGTCAATTTTTATGGGGTCCAAAAATTCGATCTCTGATACTCGCTCAAATCCATATCGCCGATCCAACGATCTAGTTTGTATTATTTGTGGATCAACAATCACCCATTTGAGTTTTAAAATATTGGCTTCAACCCTTTCAGGTCGGGTCCTATTTAGTGCCGACCAAACCCAGAAACCTAGCATGGTTAGCAAATCGTCCATGGACTCCATACACGATAGCGGCCTTGTAGTTAGTATTAATTCAATTTAGCGTTCAGAATGTAGCTATAAAACTAGGTCAAAGCAAATAGTATTGAGCAATTGTTTCATGTATGCGGTCCAGAGGTATAAAGATGGATGCAAATGGGAAGTCCATCTAAAATCAATTGTAACTTAACCATTCAAATGTTTTCTTAATATAATTAGAGAAAGAATAACGATCCTATAGGACCTTCTCCCATCCATGTATGTAAGACCTTCAAGGATCACTATTAAAGTTGGTACGGATCTCTAAAAAAGTTATCACATGGATGTGGAGCTTGATTTTTTTATAGATCCGTGTCAAATTTAATGATGATCATTTGGGGTCTTATACATATGGGT